TTCAATATATAGCAGAGACGGTAACGTCCCCTGATCATCATACTGGTATTTACACAAAACTATTACACTCCTATTAATTAAACTACACTAGAGATTTTCAAAAACGACAAGTGGAGATTTCTTTTAGTTTGCGCTTTGCGACTTTGTAACTTTGCTTCTTTGCGTTTTACTTTCACCATAAAGCAGCTAAACTATATAATGTAGGTCTGTTATTTCAACATTTTTTCTAAGTAGTTTTACAGGAATACATGAATATCTCAGTGTTATTTGTGACCATTTGATCAAAGGAGAATAGCTCTCCTGAGCAGACACGGACGCCTGAAATCCAATCTGGCGACCAAAGACTTTCTATCCAGCAAAGAATTATGGAGACTGAAAATTTTAAATCTGTGACTTTTTTTCCCTCTCAGGCAGTGAGAATTATCATTTGATCTGTAGGTCAGAAGTGGAGTACTGTACCTTTAACAAGGGCTCTAAAATATTACATTCCGTTAGGTGATATCAGTATTGTGGCATGGCCAAGCAGCCTGAAGAGGAAGGCGTATGGAATAAAGAAGGAACTGGGGAATCATCTGGGACGGGGTTTTATGTATGAACCAGGAGGGGAGTAGCTGCTGTTACCAGATGGTATACCCTCCACTGGATCCGCCCAGGAAGAAGTTATTCTTGCGCTGTGTCATGACAACATTGGCGCCCTGCATGGCGGCCAGCTGAGCCGCATTAGGGGGGTGTCCAGGCGGTGGGGGCTGAAGGGAAAGCAGGAAAAACAGACTCAGTTGACAGTTTTCGTCGAAAGCAACGCATTTTGACGTAAACACTCACGGGGATGGAGACGCTGCTGCCGGCTGTGAAGCGAGCGCCGGCGTCGAAGCCGCCGTCCACCATCACGGTTGATCCATGGGGGTAAACGGCTCCCATGGGGTAGTAAGCCATGGGGACATTCTGGCCCACCGGACCCACTTGCATGTGTGGCTGCATGGGCATGTACACCTGATGGCCAGGGTAATGGGAGGACATCTGTGGCACCTGACCAGGCACCTGAGGTGGAAGCACATATCTGGGCTGGTATATCTGCACACAGAGACGGAAAGCAAAATTAAACCTTCAGAAATTATAACCCGTCATAATGTCCAACTTCCATATTGCTAAATTACCTCAGAATATGCAGGTGGTGTGTCTGTGTAGGGAGGTGCCTGAGGAGACATTTGCATAGCAGGAGGGTATACAGGTGCAGTACTCTGCTGAGGGTACACAGACTGCTGTGGATATGAACCTGCAAGACAAAACATTGGGTTTTAAACAAAACACTGAAACCCCAGGGACTGAAGGGGAATTCCCAGGTTCAGAAAGGGCCTAAAGGATGATGATGAAGCCAGAAAATGTGTGTGAAGCCAGAACAAAATGAATGGAAACTAGGGCTGCAACTAGCAATTATTCTAACGATTAACTGGATAAAGGAGATTTTATTGGAAATAACTGCAGATTTTTCATTTTATCACTGGAAGATTTTTTTTTTTTTAGAAAAACAAAATTTTATTTTAAGGACATATCGGTCTAAAATGCAACACTGTATTCTTTTAGTGAACTCTTGACCATTTGTAGCAAAGGATGCATCTGCAGATAAAAAGACACAGCTCACAAAAACATGTGAAAAGCTCAGTCTTCTCTGCTTGACTTATCAATACAGCATATGGTTGATCTGTTGATGATTGTTTGGATTAACTGATTAATAACTGGAGAGTAAATAATTATAATTTTTTTTACAGGACATGAATTGGGTAAAACCCAAACTATGCCACTTGATAAAGATTTTTTTAATCTTAAATGGAAATATATATATATTTTTGTACAGTTTTGTCTTAAAGTTGCTCGGAGCCCGTTGTTTGTTCAGCAAATGTCCTTTTTTTAGTCTTATATAATTATTTGATTACTAAATTAGTTGGAATTTATCTTAACTGATTAATCATTTCAGCTCTGATGGAAACATAATGAGAACAGTGCTGTGCTCTGGGTAAACATTTTTGGTCAAAAACTGGTCATAGTGTGAAAACTATAGACCATCACTCCAAATAAAGTAACCTTGTTTTAAAACTGAGCAACCAACCACATGCTGGCTAACCGAACGTACAATCAGACCAATTAACTTATTGTGACCTCGTTAGACTTGTGTTATTCACCAAACAGAATAACAACAATAGATAATATTCTGCTAATAACTTAAAATGAGCGAATCATGTTGCAAAATATAACTAAGAATGTTATTTACTTAGCAGGAGTGAATAATTTTTGCAAGTAATTTATGACATATTGGCGTTAACATCAGAATCAGGCGATATTAGTAATTTTTTAACATCGGTAATCTCTTCTTGCCTCTTGTATTTGTTCGGTCAAATTTGTATTCCTAATATTTGCTTCCGTCTTTAACTTGATAGACTTTTATTAAGTTAAACATTTAAAGTCATATACAATTTTGTGTAAACGCTGATTTAAATTTGTATAAAAGGTTAATATACAAAGAATCTCTGTATAGATGGTTCTCTTGAATTTATTCTCATAATGGTTAAATCAATGTGGATTACTTATTACTTATTGTATTTTAGTTTAGATTGAATTTTCTTGTAATATACGCGTTTTAAAATTAAACCTGTGTAAGGAGAATTTCTATCACCTATGGGACAAACAGAGCTTGTATATTTATCAAATATTAAAACATGAAGCAAAAGCAGTAAGAAAATTAAGGCATTCATGTTTTTATTTTTGCTGTTTTATGCATGTAAATGGTGATAAAAACTACATTTTACAAGATGAGTATGGACAGTTTGGTAATTTGCAATCAAACAACTGTACCTTAATAGGAACAATGAACAACAAATGACAATACATATAAGCTGATGTAACAAAAATCTTGTGTATTAGGAAAATCTGAAAAATATTAAACTGAAAATAGATAGAGAATAATAAGATGTAACCTAAGTTGTCATTTATATCATGCTTTACAATTATATAGCTAACAAGTCAGAATTATCTAAAAAAAAACAAAACCAAAAGATCTTGAGGCAAACTGAATTCACTTTATTCTGATACCATCACAGAAATGTGACGTAGTAAAAAAAAACAAAAAAAAACAGCATAAAGTAAAACAGTTTCTTTTTCTGTGTTGCAGATTTTTTTAAAAATGGGCCAGTCGGTTGCAACATAATGGTTAAATTATTGTGAAAGCAAAACTAGCATCAGCCCTTTGTTTGGGGGATGTAAGCGTGTTTAGCCTTTTTTACAGTCTAAAATGATCCGCTAAACAGGAAAACAATCTGAATAGATGCAGCAAACAGCCCAAACTAAAACACTTCTTCAGTCTGACTGCACCAGAATAGGACTTCCATGTTAACAACACAACGGCGAACCAAAACAGTCCAGTTATGGCAGCTTTGCCGTTTTAAATGGTTGTAGCTCGATAAAAATTTTTTTAAAAAAACACAAAAAACCCCCCCAAAATGCTACCTGATCAGAATCAGTAAACGAATGTAACGAGAAAGTGAAAAAAATGTATTCATTACAGTATTTCAGACGCATTTAGGTTCAGTAAGTGAGCTTCCCAGAAGGCGTCAGTTTATTGTTATGTACGTAGCTAAACGTGAAGTCCGCTTTAGATAACGACAGCCCGTTCGGCTCTAGTTCTAACAGCAGCGTCGACTGACGGGCAGCTAGCTGACAAACTGAACCCGCTGTGGAGAAATACCTTTGTTATTCATTGTTGTGGATTGATTCGGAGGCTGAGGAACATCAGCTTGTACGGAGCTCTGCGTATCTTGTCTCGGCCTTGTTACAGGTTTCGGATTGACACTTCCTTGTTTCTTCTTGTTGTTGTGGAAGTGGTTACGTCATCCGTTCTTTATCTGCGGCTGCACGCACGCACGGCTCGCTCGCACGCCTGCGCCCTCTCTGGTGGAAAAGGGGAACTTGCTCAAACGCGAAGTGAAGCAAACAAAAATTCAAAAAGCGAATTTTAAAGCTAAACATTGCGGAGAAATATAAGTACATGAAAAGCACAAAAATTAGAAATTCAAAAAGAATATTTTTAAAAAATAATTTATTACCTAGAAATGATTAATCACAGATTTTAAAAACAGCTTACCTGTGTCTGACTCCAATTATTATACATAAATAAAATATCCTGAAAAGGGAAGAACACCTTTAATAATTGTATTTTTTACGTAAAAAATATTTTATGGTCAATACAAATAAGAAAGTTTTAAAGAAATTAGTCATTTTATTAAAACTGCAATAGCGAAGTTATTCCGAAGCTGGATATTTTACAATTTTTTTTTCTAAACTTATGAAGCCATGTGAATAACAAATAAGAATTTTAAATGTTCACATTTTAAAAATGTTCATACTGATATTCAAATTATGAATCTAGACCTTTACAATTAAGTGGTACAGGTGAAAGTTAGCTTGATTTGGTTCATTATGTTCAATGAAAATGACAAATACAGCATTTTTTAATAATTTTAAACATATTCATATTTTTGCAGAAGTTTAAAAAAACATTTATTATTATTATTATTATTATTATTATTAATTTTTACAATAATGCTTGATTACTTTTTTAAGCAACCAATGTCAACGTGTTTATTGCTTTTTTAAATTACTGATTAGCATTGGGTTATTTTCCAATTATTGCATTTTTTAAAAATTTCTGATAAAAATAAAAGAAATGTACTGTTGTACTGTTTTACTATGTTCACTTCAAAATTTAGTAAACAAAAGAATATATAAATCTGTGTTTTGTGGTTTTCATTTGCTGTAAGCCATAATAATCCAAATTCAAATATTTAAACCCTATAATCTACTGATGTGCAACTGTATGTCCGGATCCGCTCCGAATGTTTATTTCAGCGTGACAAACACTGCTCGACTTTCTCAATGCGGTACGTCCCCTTTAAGAGAACCATGGCACCGCTCAAGTCGAGGCAGACATTTTTCAATGCAAGATTTTTTTCTTGCATAAATTATGTTCATGACGTAGTGCAAAAGGACAATTTTGGGGCAATTTGTCCGACTTTACAGCTCTGGGGGGATTCCTTGAGACACCTGGAGGATTTCTGATGGTGTGAACTGTTGCAGAAAGGGCACCGTCATTAAATATTAAGGCAGAGGAGATCCTAACATTGCAGCCCTCCTTATCAATGCAAATAGCTCTCTTTTGTGTGCAGTCACAGCGCCTGTCTGGGAGCTGAGATGAATTTCTAATGATGGGTGACTGAAACAAACTGTGACAGGGAGCATTTTAAGAGCGGCGGATTACGGGAAATAAGCTGCATTTCCGCGGTAAGTTGCATTTAGAAATCGCACTGTGTCCAAGCTCGCTGCTGGCGCGGAGCAGCGAAATGGCGAGAGAAAATGAGTTTTGGTTAATATGCAATGCTCGTAATTAGCATAATTTATATATTTATGATAAAGAGAGGGAAATGCATAAAATTCGTGCTCTCGGCTCGGCTTGCCAGGATTTTCGTCGGCTGTGAATGGTGCTGGTCCTCCAAAAAGTGGCTTTTATTGACCAGGATGGGGGTGGGGTGCCCATCAACAGCCGCTGAAGTTTTGACAGATCCCCATCTCCCGGGGGGCTCTGCTGCAACAAACGCACCATCTTGAGCCTGTTTTGGAGTCTGTTCAGAATTTGCAACCACTTCGTGGATATTTTAACCATGTTTGAACATGTTTATTTGCAGCTTTTGTGCAACACAATATGGCCTGTTTATACTTACAGGCCCCTTTAAATAGTCTGTGTCTGCAGTGACTAAAATGGTCAGGAGTAACAGGGAACGTTAGCATGTTGGTTTATTTCAAAGGTAGCAATTGAGTTTAAAGTACAAATGCAATAAAACAAAGAATCTCTACATTTTTTTAGATGTGATATTTGCATAATCAGTATGTGTTTATCTAGGATGCCTGCAAGACATTATCTAAGTTGGTGCAGCAAGCCATGAACTCCCAGGATCCTGCCCAAGATGCCCCGCTCACTGTCAATGAGCAGGTAAAAGATCATCTGTTATTCATAACAATATATTAATATTCTCCTTTTTTCCACATTTTGTCCCAGCACAGCATCAAACTTTAGTGTGTTTTATTTGGTTATAATGTGATTTACTTACTCAAGGTAACTCATTGTTGTGAAACTGGAGATAAATTAAGCTTTGTTTTCCAAGTTGTTACATTTGACTCAAAACTCTTTTGAACCACTTTTAGTTCTTTTGAATTATATTGCTACTGCTCTAGAAATTAAAGTTTTTTTTTTCATTCTTTGCAAAATTGCTCAATCTCACTTTGACTAGGTGAAGAGCATTTACAAACATCGAATTTAAAGTTTTGCCACAGGTCATTTGGACTTATGTCTGGACTTTGACTAGACTATGAACTTATATTGTCCTTTAATCTTGGGCTCCACAATTTTGTCATCACATTATCAACGTTTGCAGTATTGTAATGAATAAACCGTAATGTTTGGATTATTCAGTTGGATATGATTATATATTTGGCCAGTTGGATAAATAAAAGCCCTTGAGGCACATGATTCATTGTGGAGTTTTGGTCTGTTGAATGTGGTGTGCAGTGTTAGTTAGATTCACTCCAAAATATTGCTTTGCATGGCTAGAGTGTTTAAATTTATTTAATCTCATATTTTCTGTATAAATCAACTACAGCAATTAATTGAACAGAATTTTAGTTGGTTATATCAGAGAACAGAGCAGAATGCAAACAGAAATATCACTTAAAATTTTAATTTGTGGTCCAAAATGATATTTCTTACATAACTGTCTGACGCACGGCTCTCCATTGAGATCACAACTCACTTCTGTATTAATGCTTGATAATTTCTGCTACTCTTTGCTTCAAAGACTGTCAATGTTTAAACTGCCATGCTTATTAATAATTTGTTGTGGATTTTCTCACCTGTAACGCTTTGTGTAGACATAGCCAGCAAGCCAAAATCAATCTTTATAACTCACAGAGGTATAAAGCTGAGCGTTGCTTAGGCTGCTTGTTGGCTGATGCCCTCTCCGTCATTTCGGTCCACTCATACGTCTTTTTTTAAGTTAGTTTTGGTTTTTGTTTTGTTTTTTGGGGGTCATCTTGTCCTAACATGTGCTTGGCTTCTCTGTCCTCCTTAGCCATTCACTGTCTGACAGCAGAAGTTTTTTTCAGCCATTTAAATCCTGCACTGTGAAATTCCCCCTGTCAGGGACATCCAGGTACGCATCACCATCTCTTTCTCTCTTTCTCTCTGCGTTTGTCTCCTCTGCATCCTGTCTTCCAGCCGCCTTGCTGCCTCTGCTTGGTCTTTCATTATTTCACTTTGTGAATCATCAACTATAGGTCAGCTCTGGGTTTAGAATATGCTGGTAGACGGGAGAATTATTGACGTTAGCACATAAAAGTATTCATAGCTCTAAAATTGTCCTAGACAATAGTAAGGGCTTACTAGCCACCAACAATTATTCTGTCTTTATGTTTTTTAATGCTTTGTATAAAACTCAAAAGCCCAAATCAGTTGAGTTGTATTAATGTTTCTTTTTTAATATAAACAATATTTGAAAATTAAGAAGTGATAGTCGATTTTGTTGAAAAAAACATGGAGAAACTGGTCAGGGTACAAATTAAACCTATTATGCATCCTTTCCTACCTGCAGATATATAGAACTATGTATTAATGTCACAGTTAATTGTGTTGCAGTAGTAAAACAATTTTTGTATTGTGGATAAGGCACCAAAAGTGGCCCTAGCCCAGGTGCTCTATACAGCACAATCCCAAGAGGCTGCAAAAGACTCATTCTTTTATCAGGACAAAACCTAAATATACGACCAGAACTGCATTGGAGCAGTTCTGATTAAAGCAATCACATGTGCTAGAATGGCCTAATCAAAGTTCAGATCTTAATCTAATTGAAAGTCTTTGGCAAGAGTAGAAAATTAATGTTCACCAAACTGTTCTGACTGTGGTTCTCTAATAATGTTCAAGAGATTTTAATATTTTTACAAGAAGGAGGATTTCTTTATTTTTTTTTTTTTTTTAAATAATTTAGCTAACTTTTAAAATGAATTTCTAAATTCTGGTCCTGTTGTACAGTTATTTTCTGGATCTCTAATCACCTCATAATTTGCCCCTGCAGGTTATTGTTATGTCCGGTCAGGAGACAATTCGTGTACTAGAAGTCGAGGTTGACGCATCTCTGCCGTCTTCGGTACCGGATGGGAAGAATGAGAGCAAAATTGCTGAGGAGGAAATGGCTCAGTGTGCAGAGAAAGCTGAAGCTGCCAGCACCCAGAGCAGCCCCACAGCGCCCCACAGCACTGGGACGCAGGTAAATCATTATTTTGAATCGGCTTCAGAATTGTTTTTCTGGTGCAACGAAGCTGCACAGTAAAGTGCTAGAGTTAGTGCAACTTCAGCTGTTACAGCTGAAAACTGGCAATGAGGTCTGCAATCTGGGCGTGGTGATGGATTCACACCTGAACCTTCAGAACCACATAAAGACAAATATAAAGTCAGCCTTTTATCATCTGAATAAAGGACTAATTGCTCAGCAAGAGTTTGGGAAACACATTCATTATCTTTAGTCGCTGCAACGGTTTCTTTACAGATTTACCTAAAAAGAATCAACCATATTCAGAACGCTGCTGCTGGCGTTCTGACTAAAACCAGGAAGATGGAGCACGTCACCCCAGCTCTAAAGTCCCTACACTGAAAGAATAGACTTTAAAATACTGTTGTTAGTTTAAAAATCACTAAAAGGTTTATCACCAAAACACACACCAGAAAGAGGCAGCATTCAGCTTCCTCTCCAAAGCTGAATGAAACAAACTTCCAGGAAACTGCAAAACATCCAAAACACTGACATTTCAATCAAGACTAAAAGCCCACTTTTATAGAGTTGCCTTTAAATAGAACATTGACCAACATTTTAATGTGTATTCACAATTTTAAAGATGGCACTCCTCTGTTTTTAGTATTTGCAACTGTTAATTCTATGATGTGTTCATTTTTTTTTTATCTTTTCTCAACGTAAAGCATTTTGAACTGCAGTGTTGCTGAAATGTGTGATACAATAAACTTGATTGATGGTGTCCTGCAGAGATCGGAGAGCAGCAGGGAGCGTCTGCTGATGCATCGGCTGCTGCTGTCCAAACAGTGAATCCTGCAGTTCCGCTCAGCGTTTCCATTGCCCAACCCCAGGCCACCATGCCCATTACAGTACAAGGTTGTCCACAGGTATGAACTACGGCATCAACTTTAGAGAAAACCTTTCGGAGAAATTAGAGGCAAGACCGCGAGCCAGGGATTGCCATCCAACATCAGTGTCTAACCTCATTAAAATTCCTTTCTTACCTTGTTTTAAGAGGACAATAAAAATTGCTTAATTTTAGTGTTTTGGAAGTTAACTTAAGGATATTTAAATTAAAACTTTGTTCAGATATGATTACAGATCTCATTTTAGAAAACCAAAAACAGGTTTCCTATAGTTTATTTATTTATATTGATAACTTTTCAAGGTCTTCGCAGACAAATGTAGAGTGACTTAGGCAAATATATAATAAGACGGAGGATGAAGTAAAACCATTATTAAAATAAAATAGAATGGGAAATATTCTGTATAGTTCCAAAATGGAAAAAAAATCTGTTCAATAGCAGCAAAGTGTCAGACAATAACAGCAAAACAGACTCACATAAAAACAGAATATAATGTATATATAAAAACAGAATAAAGAATGAAAATACTGCACACTAAGGGCAAATTTTCAACATTACACAGTGTAGTAATGAAAATAGTTCACTACAGGCCTGAATAATGTGCATCTGAGTTGTTGCCAAAACTTTCTCCAACTGAACAAAAATAAAACTGAAGTCATTATTTTTGGACCTAAAGAGGAACGATCTAGAGTCAATGCACAGCTTCAGTTATTACAACTAAAAACTAGCGATCAGGCCTGAAACCTGGGAGTAGTGATGGACTCGGACTTGAACCTCCAGAGACACATAAAGACAGTAACAAAATCGGCCTTCTATCACCTGAAGAACATCTCCAGGATTAGAGGACTAATGTCTCAGCCAGATCTAGAGAAACTCATTCATGCGTTTGTCTTTAGTCGCATTGATTATTGCAACAGCGTCTTCACAGGTCTGTCCAATAAATCAATCAAACAGCTACAGTTGATCCAGAACGCTGCTGCTCGCGTTCTCACTAGAACCAGGAAAATAGAGCACATAACACCAGTTTTAAAGTCCCTCCACTGGCTCCCTGTAGCTCAAAGAATAAATTTTAAAATACTGTTGTTAGTTTACAAATCACTGAATGGTTTAGCACCACAATACATCAAAGATCTGCTGTTGTTGCACAACCTTCCAGACCTCTCAGGTCTTCTGGTTCTGGTCTGCTCTGCATCCCCAGAACCAGAACCAAAAGAGGAGAAACAGCTTTCAGCATCTATGGACCAAAAATTTGGAACAAACTTCCAGAAAACTGTAAAACAGCGGAAACCCTGACTTCAAATCTCAAGTAAAAACGCACCTGTTTAGAGTTGCATTTGAAATGTAATATGTATGGATTTGATTTTGTAGATATGTATGTAATTTTTTTTGTTTTTTTCCTGTTGTGGGCAACGGGGCCCGGCGAATACCCGTGGTTAAACGGACAGCGGAGTCCGGCGGTAACAGGCGCTTAAATTCCGTGTCAAAGGGAAGGGGGAAGAAAGGGAAAAAAAAATAAATAATACTTGGTATTTTATTCTATGTTGCATGCCTTTGTGTTTTGTGTTTATGATGTAAAGCACTTTGAAATGCCTTGTAGCTGAAATGTGCTATACAAATAAAATTTGATTGATTGATTGATTGATTGATTTAATTAAAAATGTACAAAATATGCATGTATGTGTGCATTAAAAAACAACAGACTCTTTATAAGGCGTGAAAAAAAACTGTTAAAACAACAAAAATCTGCAGATACCAGCAGAAATATTATTAGAAAAGAATAAAAATTTGCAAATAACTGAAAATACTAGCAGGGATGTAAGCATTTTTTTGAGTTATTGAGAGTAATCAATTAATTTCTGGATAAATTAACATGAGCTCAATAATTTCCAATCTATTTATTGAATATCTTTTGATACTTACAGACAGAAAATCATCAGTTTTATTTACAGATTAATTCTGGGTGTTTTTTATTTCCAATAAATTTGTTGTTTTTGGTTGTGGTGTTTCATTTAGGATATTTAAAGCATCTTCCAGGTCTAGTGTAAAATATTTACAAAATTACAGTCTGTGCCATTATTATTGTTCTACTTGAAAGTAATTTCAAAACAACAATGGACTTTGTGCTCTGCAACACCAGGTTCTGACCCAGGAAAGCCTGGCCACTTTGATGACTGGTATGATGGCTCAGACGGGTTCACTGGGTCAACCTCTGCTTATCCCCCTCAACATGGCCGGTTCCATCGCCGGCCAGGGCGGATTAGCGGTTCTCACTCTGCCAACCACCAGCGTAGCCACTCTCCCTGGCCTCACAGCCGCAAACCCAGCTGGGAACCTCCTCAAGCTGCCCTTTGCTGGCCTACAGGGTAAAACACAGTTTACCTGCTGCTTGTTTCCCCCTCTCACATCCAGAAATGTATCTATCATAGATTCTTTTCTTTTTGTAGTTTTTTTTTTTTTCCCATTTTACCAAAAATGCTAAATCTTACCAAGTACATTTTTTCTACTTTTTAGTACAAAAATTATAGTTCACTTGAAATACGACAAAATTAACTTACAAGTAACTTTTAAGCAAGATATAGGAGATTGTTTTAGGTCAATAATTCTTTAATATTGAAATCAAGTGACAATCTGTCAGCGAAACTAGAACTGGGTTGCTACTGTCATTTATGACATTAGTAAAATAATCTGCCAGTGGAACTGATACTTTTTCATCAATATTAAGAAATTATTTAATATTGAATAATAATTTCAATATTAAGAAATTATTATTCATCAATATTAAGAAACAACTCCAATATCTACTGTATCTTGTAAATAATTAATTTGTATTTGTGAAAAAGTACCAGTTCTTTTGTTCAAATTTAAATTAAAAAAAATTTATTGATCCCAAAGGGAAATTAAATGTTGTTGTAACTCATTTTAATTAAAATTCTTCAGTTAGACTGAACACACTCTGTTTTCCCAGGGCAGCCTCATAAAGAGGATGGTTGTCCATAATTTTCTTGATTTTATGAAGAATACTTCTTTGCATCATATAACAAGATATTCTTCCCATGTAGTAAGTGAAATAATCTGCCAGTGGAACAGTTTGTTTTTAACCAATATTAGGGAATTATTGACCTAAATCAAGTTCTTGTATCTTGCTGAAAACTTACTTGTAAGTAAATTTGTTTTATTTCAAGTGTACCAAGATATTTGCACTAAAAGGAATTCAAAACCACTTGGAACATTTTTGTGTTTTTTGCAATGCACAAATTTAAACTCTTAAATATTAACAATCTCATCAGCTAATAGCTCCATTTTGTCATTTTCTTTTTAGCTGCAACAGTTCTGAACTCAGTCCAGCAGCCCCAGCTGCAGGCGAACACACAGGCAATGTTCCAGCCTCAAGCAGCGCCGGTGCAGACGTCTGTGCAGCAGGTGCCTCCTCAGCAAACTCAAGTCACCAACGCACAGGTCACTTCCGCCCAGGTGACAGCCGCCCAGGTGACCTCTGTGGCCAACGCCATCTCCCAACCCAACATTTCTGTGGCAGCACTTCAGACAGCAGGACTGTCCATCAACCCAGCCATTGTAGGGCTCATACAGCTCATCGTTTTTTACATTTTTCCTGTTTGCCCTCATTTTTAACCGTGTTTTTATACATATTTGTTCTCAGATAAGTGCTGCTTCTTTGGGTGCACAGCCTCATTTCCTCAGTTCTCTCACATCAACCCATCATCAACAGCCCCATGCCCAGTATGGCTGGCATCACCAGCCAGATCATCACAAACGCCCAGGGTCAGGTAGGTCACAAACAAGCTGTGGTACAATGTGAGATTAAGTGATACAGGTGTTTAATTCTTAAAGATTAACTGTAATGACCACCAAATAAGCCTGGAATGGACTTCACCTGATCTGTGAAGGTGTGCTGTGGTATCACACTGCAAAACACAAAATCTTTCCAAATATTTCTATTCTAGTTTCGAGTGCAAATATGTTATCACACTTGAAATAAGAGAAATCTAACTTATTAGTAACTTTTCAGCAAAATATAGGAGCTTTTTAAAGTAATCAATACCTTAATATTGATTAAAAATTACTAGTTTCACCTGCAGATTATTTCACTGATAACGAGACATTTTTCCATGCTGTAAGTGAAATAATCTGGCAGTGATACCAGAACTTTTTAATCACTATTAACGCAATATTTACTTAAAACTAGCTACATCTCATTGAAAAGTTATTTATAAGTAATCTTGTCTTATCTTTAGTGTGATAAACTACTTTGTAAGATTTTGTGTTTTCACAGTGCAAACCTTGAAATCACTGCATAAACACAAACCCTTACAACGTACTTTTTGTCTAGTTTTTAATGCTAATAACTTAGTACACTTAAAATAAGACAAAACTAACTTAAAAGTAAGTTTCAGCCAGAAATTAGAGCTTTTTTTAAGTAAATACCTTAATCCTAATTAATAAGTACTTGTTCTAAGCCAGCTGCATATTATCCGAAACAAACAAAAGCATCATCCTCCAACTACTTCCTGTCATCTTTGTCATTTTGATCATGTGACTGATGTGATGTAAAAAAGTGTTTCCATTACAGTTTTGCAAAATACATATATTTCAATATGACCAAAAAAACCACCTCATTTTAGCGCAAAAACTTTTCTATCCAAAAACAAAATTGCTTTTTCATCAAGTAAATTATTTTTATCATTTCAATTTGTCCAGTGTTGTAGTTAATGGAAATGCAGCTATTGAGGAAAAAAGTTGTTTTATTATTCAGTGTATGTAAACTTCTAATTTCAACTGATTGCTGTTTGAAATAATTTATTTTGCTTTACACAATGTGCAGGTGATAGGAACTCTCCCGCTGCTGTTGAACCCAGCGTCTCTGGCTGGAGGGACCGCAGCTCCCTCTCTGCCCCTGCAGGGTCTGCAGGTCCAGACCATCCCCACAGCTGCTCCTCAACACCCAGGGCCAAATTATCGCAACTGTGGGAAACGGACCTGCTGCCGTTGCAACTTCTGCTGCAGTTCTGCCCAAAACTACAGCTCCTACTACAGTTAACAAACCAAACGCTCAGGTAGAAAAACAAATCCTGTTTGAACTGAAAGAAAAGCCCCAAAATAAACCAAATTAGTGACAATGAAATCAAAGGGGCGGTATTGTGTAAAATAGAGTTTTTGAACTGTACATCATGTCGTTATATTTTTATCTCACCAAAACATATATCTGGAGTGTTGCCTTGATTCAAGGATATCCTTTAATCTCCAAGGCAACCATCTATGCATCTATGGACGTAGCTCCGCCTTTGAGGCGCAGCTCCTCCTTAAAGCTGCAGTTTCCAAGTTTTCAAGCTCTCAACTATCCCAGTAAGCTTCTTCAGACTAGACAGTAGGAATTAGCAAACACCTGGTGGAACTCTGCATCTACTGAGCTCATCATAAAAATGCTGTGATAACTTCCTGAAGGGTGCGGGTCCACAAAGAGCAGGAATTTTTAAAGACACAGAGGCCCAATTCCAAGGCTTTAAAAAAATATGTATGAAATTTATTTTATTTGACACAAATAATGTTTTAATAACAACTGAAGGTAGCGTACAGAAGTTACTCGATTTTGCTATAAAACAGCCTGGAAACCATAATACTGCCTCTTAAGAGAGCAGAGAGGTGTGAAGTTTCTGTTATCCACAAATAAGCAGCATCTATAAATTGTGACCATTACTGTTTATTTTCAGTGACAAGTGTCACTCAGTCACCTGTTGTCATTGCACCGCAGCCGTCTGCACTGAAGAACTCGACCGCACTCACCTCAGCAGCACCCATCGCCTGGGACACATGGCCAAAGTGGGGCAGCTTGTCAGCAGTACGTACACCTGCTCTCTACCCTCAGCAGAGGAATGTTTAAACAGCAGCCAGATATTTTTAACCAGGCTCCTCACAATTTCAGAGCCTCAGCAGGGAGTCAGCAGCGAGGAAGGGATTAATTTGGAGGAAATCCGAGAGTTTGCCAAGAACTTCAAGATCCGTCGGCTGTCGCTGGGCCTCACGCAGACACAAGTCGGGCAGGCCCTCACTGCGACGGAGGGTCCGGCGTACAGCCAGTCTGCCATTTGCAGGTAAGTGACTCACCTGTTCTTTTTCTGCCGTCACTGCTTAGAAGCTTTCCTCTGTGTTTCCTCTTGTAAAAGTGCCAGTGTTTCATCACATGCTGACGCTGTGTGCAATGCGTCGACAGCTCTTCTTCACAGCCAAAACGTTGACTCACAGAGGAAGAGAACGTTTTTGATGATCGTATTCTGCTAAGGAACAAGTGGAACGGTCCACTGAAGAGAGGGATGTGCTTTACTGTATATATATTGATATATATCACTGGAAACAGATCCTATTTGAAACACCTATTTAAATTAATTAGAGTACATTCCATAAATGGTTATACAAAGTATTCACATCTATTTTTCACATTTTATGTCGTTTCAGCCACAAATGTGTTAACGTGTTTCATTTAGATTTTATGCAACAGATTATTGAAAGTGTTCTGTGTTGCCATTCAACGCCTTTATTGATCCTATTGATCCTAAATGAAATTAAAAGCTTAAAATGCTATCAAAAGCCACCTAATTGGTAAATAGAATCCACAGGTGACATATTATGCTTCCTTTAACTGATTATGATAGGTCAATGCACAAAATCATTCTTGGATCATGAAAATTTAGTGTGATTAGTTCTGCCTATTTTGAGAACCTATTTTCAATTACCTGTTTTTGAAACGGCTAATTTTCTAGACATCAAAAAATATTAACTTATTGCATTTCTTGTTCTTTAAAAACTCTAGACTGTTTTTTAGAAGCAGTAGTGACCCAAATGGACGTACAAAAATGTGTAAAATTAGAATTTTGAATACGTTTCTTTTAAAAGTCATATTGTAAAGATCCATTTTGAGGTTTTTCTGTCATTTCTATTGTTGATTGGAAAAGTTTTCCCTCCTTTCTGCCTCAGGTTTGAAAAGCTTGACATCACCCCCAAGAGCGCTCAGAAGCTAAAACCGGTTTTAGAGAAGTGGCTGGCTGAGGCCGAGCACTGGAACCAGAAAGGCCAGCAGAACCTAATGGAGTTCGTTGGCGGCGAACCGTCCAAAAAGCGCAAACGCCGCACCCAGTTTTACGCCGCAGGCGATCGAGGTCCTTAACTCCTACTTTGAGAAGAACGCTCTGCCTACAGGGCAGGAAATTACAGAGATCGCAAAGACTGAATTATGACAGAGAGGTGGTCCGGGTCTGGTTCTGCAACAGACGACAGACACTGAAGAACACAAGCAAGATCAACGTCTTCCAGGTTTAGGAGCAACCTCATTCTCATCTTCATTAGGGTGGGTGGAAAATTGAATTAGTTTTTTTTTTTTTTTTTAAATCAAGAACATTGTAAAGTTGTGTATGAAAAACGAGTTAGAACTGTGTTCTCAAGTTGTGTATGTAAACACAGTTGGTGCATACTCAGTTACACTGCATGGTCCTTTTGTTTTACAGTTTTACACTGCAAAACCCCACCAAGTAATTTTAGTCTAGTTTCTGATGCAAATGTATCAGTACATTTAATAAGACAAAATAACTTTTCAGCTAGACATACAAGGTTTTACTTGTACATTGGCAGATTATTTCACTTATAACACAACAATTTTTCATGTTATGCCTGAAATAATCTAATGGAACAAAGGAAAGAATTTATTGACTTAAAACAATAAATCTTATTTTAAGTTCACACTTGTGCTTGAAACTGGACCAAAAATACTTTGGTGTCAAGATTTTGTGTTTTGCAGTGTAACATGCCATATTTAAGAAACTTGAGCTACCTTTTTTTAATAAGTGGTTTTATAAGCTAACCCTTCTCATATATTTTAAGTTTCTGTACAGTATCTGTTTTGTTCTTTTATATATTATTCTCTCATTAGCATATTTGAAAAATGCAGAATAATAGGACAGTTTTAGCTGGTCGTTTCCTGGAGGTTCATCAGACTCTGAAAAGGCAATAACCTTATTTTCAGTTTTAAGTGTTTACAGAACACCAGTTACTTTAATTCTGCCCAGCGCTTTGGGACAATCACCTCTTTGATAGATAATCAGAAACATGAGCTCGTTCTTTCTCATTTGGTCAAACCGCGTGAACTTAGTCACAATCTCAGCTTTGATTACATTGGACTGCAGACACACCAGGTTTGTTGGAAACTAAAACTGTGGGTGTCTCTTTTTCATGTGTCATGGCTGAATGTGTGACTTTGGTGACTATGATACATGAACACACCAATCTGTCTTTTGAACTTTATTTTTAAATGCTTGTTTTGTTCAAAGGACATTTTGCCTCATTACCTAATATCTGTAAGTAAAAACTTAGGAATATATTTATTGGCACCTCTGGCAAAGATGTGTCAAAAAGCCCTAAAATAAATTAATCTTTCTTCGGAGTTCAGTGGAGAAAAACATTATTAGTTATTCTTTGGCTCACTTCAAGTGTTTGTGGTGAAAAGATAATTCTGTGCATCTTTTTACCAAAACATTTTTATGTTTGTAAGGATAAATTAAGCTTTTCTCTGCTATATTTCTCATACAAATGGTTGACATGAAAACTTGGTGACTTGTACTTCTAGGGCTTTAAATTTGAGCGTCAGAGTTTTATTTTAGTAAAGTAAATTTGGATTCTTATGCAGCCTTGCAACTAAAATAAATTCCTCCCTGACTTATGTTTTATTCACAACAGAGTCGTTGATTACCAGATAATAGAGATGTATAAAAAAAATGCTCCAATTATGTTTATTTGAGAAAGAATTGTTGATATGGTTTTTGAATGTACTCATAAGTTATATCTACAATTGGTTTATTTTAAAGCTATTTGTAACTAGGAGTGCCAACAACTTCATCCTAACAGGCCTGTATGGAGCCTAATATAAGTTGATATAGATTTTACTGCCAAGTTTTTTGATGTTCCTCGTAAAATTTGAAATCAAACTCCTTAAACTAATAAAAATATAAAAACATTATCAGCTTAGCTGCGTGGAGAAATGCAGATTGTTTGGTTAGAACATTTAGTTTGAACAAATTTATGGACATTTCACATGGAAACATTCTTTGGCAGTTCTCTTTCTCCTTCCCGTTATTTAAGAATTCGTTTGCACTTTAGTGAAAGCAGGGAAAGTGAATGAGCTGCTTGCAATCACGATGTCAGTGTAGTACCAGATTTACGTGTTTTGGAAAAAAATAAAGAGGTTTTTTGTTTACTGCTATCGATTAGTAAGAAGCTTTTGGAAAATGTAGCAGTACCCTACAGGCAAAATGGCAAAACTTTTATTTACTATATATGCAGATGAAAAAATGTAAATTACTACAATTTTTTTACTAATATGCATAAATACAAAATGTTTTGAGTTTGTGAAATCATATCTTAATAAATGATGCATTTTATGCTCTATCTCATGGTTGCCTTATGGGCTTTTAATGCAGTATACCTAACCATAAAAACATGAGTCTTGGTTTAAAATGCTCAGCAATTTAAAAAAATATTTAATTATGTTTATTGTTGTAAGTTATGTAATAAAGAAAAGTTAAAACATTATTTCAGAATAAATAAAAGGTACTACTCATTTCACTTAGCAAGCTGTTGATGTTTCAGATCTCCACAAAATAAACATTCAATGATTTTTGTCTTTTTTTGTCAAAAGAATAAACCATCTTTAACAAATACTTGCATGTATTTGTATTTGTATTTGTATTGGTTGTCATTTAAATTGGTTGTCATTTAAATCATTATTATTTTTATATCACACCAACCTGATGACTCTCTCCATTTTTTTATTCCCACATGTCCTCTGTTGACATTTCAGGCATAACCTATGGAGACGTTGGTTACCTGTGTTTATCTCTTTTCTCTACAATAAGGATTTATAGAGATCATATTCTGATTGCATAATTGATCTTAATTGATAACTGAATTGCAGGTGTTATCAAAGTAGGTGGGTGGCATTAATGAAATGGAAACCTTTGTTTCTATGACCTTGTAACTTTTCTTAGGTGTGTCCTAATTGGATATATCAATGTTAGCTTTGTTTTTAAAGCGTTATACAACAAACAAGTTGAACTGCTGCACTGCAAAATAAGGATTTGAAAGTCATAAAGCATTAATAGGATAATTTACTAGTTTAGAAACAAATACAACACTCTAACTATAGAATATTAAAGTTATTAGTTATTCTAATGGGATTTACCTGTGTTTAAATCTATCAGTCCTCCCATCAACTCCAAGTACTGTACTGAGTAAATTATACAGAGACTGATTCTACTTAAAAATTTTGAAAAACAGTTGGTTGCACTGGATTTTATTTTGGAGCGATAGAGTAAACCTAGAAATGTCTCAATTAATAGAACAAAATAGAATAGAAATAATGTGTAATGTTGCTCAGTGGGGAAATTCAGGTGAACTGGCAGCAAGTTGAAGCATGTACATTTACACAAAAATAAAAAATATAAAAGTACAGGTAAGAATAATATACAGTAAGGATAAATTTACAACATTACAGCACTTTGAAATGATTAATAATAGCATAATCAGATTCAAAGAAACTGAATTGATCCAACTGAGAAGGATGAATTAAAAATTTTGCAAAATGTATATTTTTGTATAAAACAGCAATTTAAAAGAAATGAAAAAATGGCACAAGGATGTTATTTAAAATTATAAAAACTACAAGTAATAGGAATGTAAACACGAATGTTTGTTAAGTGTCGTTTTCACCCGCTTTCTGTTTGCCACAGGAAGCGTTGTATTTATACTTTTATTTAACAAACAGTGAATTAATTGTTGTAGGTCTGTCACATCTAATATGACAAAATATGGAAAAAATATAACGTGTACCATCACTTGTCCAGAAGGTGGCGGCAGTGAGCACAAACGTTCCTTTGCTCTCCCGGTCAGTTCCAAAAGAGAAAGAGGAGAAACAGGAAATTACGGCGGCTCCTTTCCGACGAAGCAAGATAAACAAACGATGTTATATTACATTATGTAATATTTAGAACTCTGGTTTAATTTTCTTCATCATTGTCCGTATAGATATAGCAAAGCAGCAGCCAGTTGAGGTGGACAGCCAGAAGCGAAGACGAAGAGGAGCTAGCAGCATCTTGGCGTTGCTAAGCTAACCTGCTCGTCATGTTTATTTTAGTGAGAATGAGCGCGACATGATCATGGCATGGAAGTATAGATGTATTTGAATAAATATACGTATTTAATTTAAAGGTAAGAGTTATTTACAGTAAAAGTGTCGCGTTTGTTAAAGAAAAACAAAAACAATGTGTGATTCCCTGTATTGTCTTTGGCTTTCTGGCAGAAAAACGTGACGAATTCAACACCGTTAATTTTAATGCAAACATGCGTCGTTTCCTGTTATCAACATGCTTTGTCGTGGCAGGATTTTCCACGCTCATTAAATATTAATCTATTTAATTTTTTTGTCCTGTAAACTTTTGAAGGTTGCAGGTCACAGGTGAAACCTTCGCTTCTTAAAGAAAAAATAAAAAACAGCGCAGCGTCAGCATGGCGTGGGCTCTGAAGCTGCCCCTCACGGACGAAGTGATCGAGTCCGGACTGGTCCAGGACTTTGATGCAAGTCTCTCCGGGATAGGGCAGGAGCTTGGTGCTGGGGCGTACAGTATGAGGTATGTGGAGGATAAAACCTCCATGCTGTTTTTGGTGTTGATGTGTATCTAAATGCTGCAGAAAATACTGCATTTTATTATAGTAGAGCATCAACAAGAAGTTCATGCGTTTCAAAAAAATTAATTCAAAGCAGTATAAGTAAGTTTGTGAATTTCAGTTCATTTTGTAATTTACAGATTATGATTTATGAAAACCCAAAATCTAGTTTGTTACAAAATAGAAAATCACATCAGACCAGTTTAAAGTAATTTTTGATTAAGAAATTTTATTTAGTGGACTACACAATCATGGCGAACGCAACTGACTTGACAGTCCTTGCAGTTGGGAGAAAATTGAGTGGAAGGAAAAAGTGTGTTAGAAAAGGGTCAGATTCAAAAGGCATGGTTTAAGAAATGCAACACACAGATGTATGTAACTATTAACTTTTGAGTTGGGCACAGAATGGTCTTACCTAACTGAAGAATAAAAATGCTTTGCTTCTTCCAAAGTCCTCTTTTTCAGAAGTAAATATGTTACGCATTTCACTTGAAAACGAAGGCTTAGAAAAAACAAACTTTATGGAGATTCTGCTTTATTTTATTAAGATTTAAAAAATTTTTTTTATAGTATTTCGCATTTGCCCACACTGCTAAAACACCTTCTTTAAAAACCACGGTATCTGTGCGCTTGATTAACCAACAAACTGGCCTTATTTACAGCAATTTATTTTATCAGATTAAATGATTATACAACAGAGTACTGCATTGAATAATCAGTTACTAAAAGAATCATTAGCTGCATCCCTAATTTAGTTTGCTTCGCAGCTTTTATTTCAATTACATAAAAATATCTGTGAATTCTAAGTTTCACTGGATTGCATTAGTGCTCTACATTTCAGTATTATATCTGGCTAATTTAATGGACCCTAACTACTCATAACAACAATTACTAAAATTTATTTATGGTAAGTCCCCCTCAGGATAAATGAAATATGTCTTGGATTTGAAGTGACGTAAATTTTTAATTGATTAAGATCCCAAACCTCACGGAGAATACTGGTGACACTACGTAACATAGATGTTATTAATGTTGACATCTCAAATTAATCAATAGTACTACGACCGCATGTTGTTCAGATATCATGGAACAACTATAATGTAGATATTATATTATTATTAGAAACATTTCAGGCATATTACTATGAAAACATTTTATAATAATTTGTGAATTAGGTAATATTGATGTAGTTTTGATAAATAAAGAATTAAAAAGTGTTTATATCTTTCAGCTTCAGACAATAGGAAACATGGACTTTAGTTAATTAGCAGGTTTCAATTAAAAAGTTGCTTCTGGCAAACTAAACATCATTAGTTTGTTTCTGCAATTTGCTGTTTTGATGAAACGTGTGGATAAAATCAATTCATATACAACTCAGTTTCAAATTCTCACGTTTGAGACTTTCTTGGTAAATACATACATTTTCCTAATGTTGAGTCCTTTGTAGCTCAGATCAGTACTTTGCTTCATGGGTGATGAATCCATCTGTTCCCTTAAGTGCCTGACTGTGGCCAGAATTCCTGTGTTGAGAGGAGCGGGGACTCCTGACCTGGAAACGTTGGTATTTAGTGGTGTTGCTCCCAGTTCTAGTTAACAAGCTAAACAGCAGGAGAACAACACGACTCATGATTCAGCCTAGAGCTCTTCTCCAGCAGCTCTGTCCTGTTTATAATTCATTCTATAGCCCTTATAAGATTATTACCTTTTAGGTTTGTTTTATGGAAGGAATGAATGTGAGGTGAGAGTTTTGTTGTTAACACTTTTCTCATGGCTTTCCTCTGCAGCGACGTGCTCGCCCTCCCCATCTTCAAACAGGAGGAGTCCAACTTACCTCCAGAAACTGAAAACAAGATCCTTCCCTTTCAGTATGTTTTGTGTGCACCTACCTCGCCAGCCATTAAACTGCACGACGAAACACTCACCTACCTCAACCAAGGTCAGTATCTGGATCCCAGCGATGTTACAGCTAAAGCAGCAGGGTCCAAATTGTTTGCCCCGGGGTTCAAAACTGGCAATTTTGCTACTTTTAGTTTCACTGTATATTAATGAAGATCCAAATAATGAAAATTGAAATGAAAAACAGACAATTTGGGTCATGAATTGTGTTTAATTTGTTTTATTTTCAGGGGTCAAACTAAATAATTTCAAGGGGCACAAATGGCCCCCAACCACACTTTGGTTCCTGCTGATCTAAGATGTAAAGTTAAAGACAAAACTAATTAATTTGCTTTTCTCCAAAGCGCATGTTGAGTTGGGAAAGGCAGAAAACATTTAGGAATATGTGAGATTTGAATTTTGTCTAAAACTCTTTTGTAAAGCATGCAGAAACAAATAATATAGTAGTGAACATGCAGACACGATCACTGTTTTTCTTCCTCCAAGTCTCATTTTTACTAGAAATCAGTTTCAAAAGCAGCACAAGGTGCGCCGCCTCTCATATGTATTGGCACTTCTTTAACAATTTCATAATTTGGCACTTTACTGTCACAAATGTCAATGGATTTCACAGGGACTTTATTTGATAAAACACCACAAAACGGTGCATAATTTTGAAGTGATGCAAAATTTTTGTTCATAAATAACATTTTATTTAGAGGGTTTTACAATTCCATTGTGCATTTAAAAACAAAGACTCAGACTATTTGGAAATATTTGTATAAGGTGAGCACACCCCAAAAAGCTAAGATCAGGACAAAACATTTAAACTCCTGGGACATAAACGAGGTGTAGTTGTCAATCTAACTTCATGATTGCTTACATATATGATAAAAATGAGGGAGAAATGTATATAACCTCCAAATATTTTGTAATTAATCCATTTTACTTTATTTTTATTTTACTTTTACTTTAGGCATCTCTACTTGTTTTTGCAGGGCAATCCTATGAAATTCGAATGCTTGATAATCGGAAGATCGGGGAGCTTCCTGAAATCACCGGGAAAATGGTGAAGGTAAGACACAGGCACACCCACTGGAACGAAACAAACGCACCCAGTAGA